GCTTGTCCCCACCCTTGTCACTGTCACATCTGTTGGACAGATTGGTCTGCGTATAAATGTGGAGTAAATACAAATTTCTAAATTATATTGAATATTATCTATTATGAATATTATCATAACATGTATTAAGCTCACACAGCTATCAGAATATAATGATGGTGGATTAATAAAGTATTTATGAGGCTTTTATAGAATTATGGCCGTTATTAGAAAGCCCTGCACCAATTTTAAGAAAGCTGTTACAAAATGATAAAGTACTGCCATATCGGTGATAAGAAAAGTGGAGGTAAATAGGACCTCTACCATGTTGGAGCAAATTGCGTAGCTTGTGTAAGTATTGTGTCACAGACAAAATTCTTTCTAAGCTAATGCTGCAACAGATTTATATGTTCTTTACCGACATTTACATGAATCTGTCGCAAATTGTGTCATTTGCTGAACTGATACGTAACAGATTTCTAATGAGTGTCTATGACCCTCTTTGTGTATCCCAGGGAATATGTTTTATGATGACTGTCCTTTAAAGTGTATGTCCAGCCAAAATGTATTTTTTGTAGGGATGTTCAGATACCAGTGTCGATAGTTGGCATTTTCACGAGAACTACCAGGGTGGCAGGGGTTGCAGTAGGGACCTGGCTCTGGTGCTCCACCACTGTCCTGAAATCATTAGTCTGTATTGTGTTAGAAAATGTATCAGTACTTGTATCTGTGAGTACTTGGACAAGTATCAGTACTTGCACTTGAAAAAATGATCTCGGTGCATCCCTTATATATAATTCTAAAAAAAAATATCATACAATAAAACAGAGATGTACAATTCCCAGGAGCTCCGTATGCTCCTTACAAATGACAGCTGCCTCCTAACTTTTACATTTTTCTCTAGTCTAGTCCTGGAGCTTGAAAAGTATCTGTACTTGTACTTGTACCAAGTACCATACTTGGAATCTGAACATCCCTACTTGTTTTGTCTTGGATAGAGTGGGGAATAATTATAACCTCTGTCAGGTTTTTACTGCTAATGTCTCTTTAGCAGACAGCAATAAAATCCCAACAGGGTTCTAATCTTTCCCTTACTCAATCTAGTACTAAACAAAATAGTGTTAGTTGGATATATACAATAAATCTAACAAAAGGCGCAATATTGCTTTGTTGCAGACAGCGCTTTTGCCACAATCTCAGCAACAGATTGGTGAAATAGCCAGGTACCATGAGTCCCAGAGTAGCAGCAGTACAGTGCATCTTTTGCATTCTATTCTATTTTATAACATGAAAAGAGTGTGAGATGTACTGGGTAATGGGGGTCTTCTTCATGACAGAGTGTAATATTGAAGTCACTGTAGGCTCAGCCACAGTGAATGATTATCTCCAGTCTGCAGGCACAGGCTCCTGTTCAGAGCACTCTCTCTATTAAAACTGAAATCAAAGGCTCCAAAGCTGCTGACTTTCCATAATAGCAGAAGGAATTTAAAAAGTAATGTGATTTGTACAATGTATCAGCCTGTTCTGCAGCAATGTGATCTTGCCTGTTACAGTCCCAAACTCTGAATAATGACCACACATGAATTATGCCTCCTGTACATTAAGAAAGTAATCAAAGCAGTAGAGATTTCATTCACAGTGCGCAAATAATACCCAGTCGTCGGCTCTAATATAAATTGCCTCTAAGAGAAATATTGTTTCATTGGTTGAAATAACAACAGGCTTTTTTTTGGTGGAATGGCATGTTGTGTTAGTGTATTCATTATAAAGATGGATGTGTAGGCTTGGCACCTAGCAGACCCAAGTGAACATAGTCATACATCTCTGAAACTACAAGTGGTGGCAAGGGGAAAAGTCATCCATCAAAGTTTTGCAGGACTTTTGTTCTGCTGCGAAATTGACTCCAGCTTTGTGCTTCCATTAAAGCTAATGGGATATTTCTACTGATAAATCTGCTGTTGAATTGACAGAACATACTTAGGGTTTAAGCCGTATTAATAAAAAGTGATAAATAAGTAGAAAATGAGGATAAAGTCGTTTAACAAAATTGTTAGCTATTTCTATAGCACAATCTGCACATTATGGTGACTTAGAGGAAAGCTGAGCAACTTTTTGCTTGACTTCAATTTTACTATAATACAATGGGTTTTTCTTTTTTGCAGCACTGAAGAAATAACCTGCATTAAAGGGGGGTTTAGCAGATACTCACAGATGGGTTGCTGAGAAAATCCTGGGACATTGCAGAATCCAGGGACATCCCCCTCCTAGCCCAGTATTTGGAAGAGAACATCATCATTGCAGGTTGCATCTGGACGGAGTAGTTATTCCGTGTGGCCAGCAGAGGGCGCTGCGGTCAGGCTCAGCTTCTCCTTATATGTGTTGTACAGACTTGCAGCTCTCCTGATGCTGCTCTTCATATTTATATGGGACCCTCGGCAAATCAGCTGATTGATCAACGCAGGAGATTACAGCTATCTTTGTCTCTTATTCCAAGCCTTTTTTTTTCTTGTGCTTCCTGAGTACAACCCTCTTTTCATTGAATGAAACAAACTAATATTTTCTGACAGTAGGAGTGATGCAGCCAGTGACGCCTCTGTATAGTGATTTACAAGGGCACAGGAGAATTCTAAAGGAACAATTTAAATTCTGCTCCAAATGAATCCCCTGTCCTGTATTTGGAGGCTGTGGATGTTGATGGGAGGAAAATACCCAATTCTAGACTAGATACAGGTTTATATTAGACATGAGTAATATAGTGATCGGTCATAGTCTATAGATTGGGGTTAATTATATATATCTAGTAGTATGCAATTCTACCCAGAAGAAATGTTACATCTTATTTAATCCTCTACATACATTTTGTTTCATATTTGTTCATATAGTCTATTTCTATTTACACTGGATGAGTGTACACTCTAAGGGCTTGCTCACATGATATCAGGTCCTGATCAGGTGCGGATCTGCAAAACATGTGATACATGTCTGATCACCAGCTTTACATACGCTTATATATAAAATCTTTATTTAAATATACACATACAATGCAGAATACTGTATATATGTGTATATATGCAGTCCCTACCCTGTATGGCGCCTGAGGCCGAGGGGGGGCTTTTTGGTTGGGGGGTGGAAGCGGATGCGGTGGGATGGGCGGCTGTTACCGTGTTTCCCCAAAAATAAGACACAGTCGGATTATCGCTCCACCTGTGACAGGAACCGGCGCTATAGAGGAGCCATCAGCTTATAGGGCACTGCTCCCTTCGGGGCCGCCTCGCTTCCTCTAGCGCTGGCTTTGCTGATTCTCCCCTGCCTCTCCCGCTGCTCTTCAAGTTCCCCCTTATGCCACCACCATCCCTGGGAATGGTCACAACTAGGTCTTATTTTTGGGGTAGGTCTTATAATTTAGCAATTCCCCAAAAAAGTACTAGGTCCTTTTTTCGGGGTAGGTCTTATTTTTATGGAAACAGGGTAGAGATGTGCCTGTCAGCGGCTCTCTGTCCGATCCCACCCAGCTCACTGACGTCACTGGTTGCCAGGAACTCGGTGGGTCACCAGCCAGAGTGTCCCACTCAGCTCCCTGGCAACTGATGACGTCAGTGAGCTGGGACAGAACTCTTAGCAACCTGAGACGCTGTGGCCACTAATCTGCCGCCCCCACACCTGCTGGCCCCCTAATAGTATGCCACCTGAGGCAATGGTCTCAGGCTGCCTTATTATAGGGACGCCCTTGTATATACGTTGTCTGCACACCATTCTGCTTCGGAATATCATCTATATTCGTATTCCTGTAGCATGACGTGAATGCTAAAGGAACACGAATAAAGATGACATCCCGAAGCAGAATGGTGTGCAGACAAAATATCTTCTAAATTGTATATTGTGGCGCCATCCACCACATGTCCCAGCAACTGTTGGATTCTGGTGTACATCGGTACGGCATGCAAAAGGGATATTACAAAGTCCCTGTATATACGACTATGCATCATATCTAGTCTTCATTACCTTGACATAGTAAGAGCTGATACACAATGCACATCTCTGCATATTTCTCTTGCCAGGAGTAACAGGTGCTGTGCAAGTCAATGACAGGCTGGCTGAAGGTATGGCTGTATGGGTATGTGTGCAAATTAGGGATGCACCGATACCACTTTTTTAAGACCGAGTACGAGTACCGATACTTTTGATCAAGTACTCGCAGATACCAATTAACGATACTTTTTCTTAAAGGTACAGGTCACATTTTTTCTAAAGCAATACAAACTAATGCTTTAAGGTCACTTTCTTAATATTATGATTAATGAGATGATGAGGGAGCATGACGCCGGCTTCCCGGCCAATCAGAATTCCGGGCGCTGCGTCATTACACGGCACCCGGCTTCCGGATTTGCTAGCTTCCTGACCAATCGGGAAGACGGGCAGCGGGTCATTGCACGCTACCCGGCTTCCTGATTGGCCAGGAAGTCGGCTCCATGCTCTCTCATCACAAGTGACGAGAGAGCATGGAGCCGTTTCCTGGCGTCTGAGGAAACCGGGCAGCGTGTAATGATGCGCTGCCCAGCTTCCTGATACAGGAAGTACTCGTGCTAGGTATCAGAGCATTTGGGCGCGTACGAGTACTCACCCAAATACTCGGTATCGGCACCGATACTAGTATTGGTATCGGTGCATCCCTAGTGCAAATCACACTGTTAACATGTGTACCGGGACTTATGCACTGCAACCAAATTAGTCCAGCTTTGCAAAGTGTAAGTATGCATGTGCTGCTGAGCATCGTGTAAAGTACTGGATCTCAACCTGTGTAACTTCAGGACCCACATTTGTCCTTGGTTAATTCGCAAGCAAAGTCGCACCACTCTGGAACACACAGCATTGCGGTGCCATGCGTTCAGGTGTGGGCGGTCAAATATATCGTTCAGTACCCATATGTGCCTAAAGGATATACTTGAGGAAGTTGAGACTCAACGGGAGAAGTGGTATGCAGAGGCCATTTGGGACTTCTTCTTTAGGTAGAGTAACTAAACCTCACAGACAACATGGACTTTCCACCCGTATAGACATTAAACTTGATGGTTGTAGGATGGCCTGGAGATATGGAAGATTCATTCATAAAGACAAAGGGGGAATTTATCATAGCAATTGTGAGTGTTTGAACTTGCACGGAATATATTTTATGCACTTTGTTCCAGATTTATGATGCTAGTGTAATATTCATAAATGAGGATAAATAGACTCCAGGAAAGAAGACTTGTAACTCCAGGCAAAAAGCTTAACTGATGCTTCTTGAAGAAGTGGTCATGGGGACTTCTTAAGTTGTGATTGTTTTCTTAGGTGATGCTCCAGTTTCAGACAGTCGCAGAACCAGTGCAGATGAAAAAAGGTGCAATTGATGTTAAAAGACAGATTTGCACATAGAAAAATCATCTAAGAGGCTAAAACTGTCGCAATTGTTTTGATAAATTCCCCCCATAATATATAAGTAATAGATGTAAGGTAAAGTCACTGTAATACATATACGCTGCTTCTTCTCGTTACAGGGCCCACGTGAGGACCTGATCAGCTGCTGTAGAATATCAGTGATAGAAATGTGGTTTATAGTATAGGAATGTATTCTATAAGAATAGGAAAAGTGCTTATTGTGGTAATTATTTATTGTCAGAGTACCTGTCACAAGATGGCTCATGGCCTACTGACAGCCTCTAGTCTGATACTGTGCAAATAATAATCTAACGTGATGTGTACTATTTGTCTACAAAATGTCACTTGAAAATATGTTATTAAGAAATGTAACCCTTTCCCATCCAATTTTTACATAGGCATTACGTAGACTCAGCATGAGAGTTTTTTTTTGTTTTTTTTCATGCTCTAGACTCCGGGATGTAGTCATGTAGCCCCCATCACCTTTAGTGAGGTGCCTACTAGAAATTTGCCAGAGCTGTAGGCAGTCTGGCTGGATTATAGTTTGCATTTATCTGGTTAATTCCAGGTGTCCTGGCATTGATTGTACCTACCTGGGTGGAGTGTGACTCTGCCACAGTGTGGGCCAGCCAATGAGGGGGATTGTGAGTGTATGTGCCATTCACCAGCCAACCACTGGGTTTCTCTTAACCAGTAGCTAGACCTGAGGCCTGGGGGAGGGGGTGGGGGTGGGGATGCTGGAATGCGGGAAGTGTTTTGCTAGCTCTAAAGTACGGAGGAGGCCTGTGCTTTTGCTAGAGGAGGAGAACCAGGAAAGCTGATGGCTGTTGAAGGTACCTGAAACATAGTGGACCTCAGGAGCAAGTCTGGTGTCTCTCCTGTTAAGGATCTGTGCTCATTCTTGCTCATCTGCTACTAAAATTCCAATTCGCTGTGCTACTAGCGCAATAAAAGTGTTGAAGAGGTTAAGGAGGGGTGGTTTTGAACTCACCTGCGGTAGGGTGGGCATGCGTTTAGGAAGGTGGTTGGGAGCGATGTTCAGGGGTGGCAGACGTGGTGAAGCCATCCTCTGTTGTGATGGGGTGGGTCCTCGCCGGGCAGGTGGTTGTGAGCGCATGCGCCCGCCCCAAGATGCTTTGCGGCCGCCCGAACAGTTTTGTTTTCTCAGGTGGGAGCGCGCAGAAAAAAAGGTAAGTTTAAACCGCTGTTTTAGCGGGTTTTTTTTTTAAAACTGTTTGCCTATATCTACTGCTTGGTAGCAGTAGATATATGCAAAAAAACGGGAGGATTTAGAACCCCTTTATGTCAATTCACTAAAGATGATCACATCAGTTATCACTCCTTAAAACATAACTAGCTTCAGCTTTTGATAATAGTGAGGTTCTGTTAAGTGTCTATTGTGAAAAAGGAAAATGAGCCACTTTAGGTGGGGATACAATGCCTAGCCAAAAAAACAAGTTACCACCTTAATTTACCTACGGAAATACAACCCCAATTCTGAAAAAGTTGGGACCCTGTATAAAATCTACATAAAAACTGAATGCGATGATTTGCAAATCTCAAACTTTTTTTCACATAGAAAATAGGAAACATCAAATGTTTAAACTGAGAAAATGGACAATTTTAGGACAAAACAAATAAGGTGGTTTTGAAATGAATGGCAGCAACACGTCTCAAGGAAATTGGGACAGAGCAGCAAAAAGCTGGCAAAGTAAGTGGTACTAACAAGGAAGAGCTGGGAAAACATTTTGCAACTAATTGGGTTCATTGGCAACAAGTAAGTAACATGACTGGGTATAAAAAAGAGAATCTAAAAGGTGCCCATACACCTTACTTTCATTGTGCGATGGTTGTAAGGTAATTCAAATCTCGTACGATCTGCCCATCTTGGACAGGCAGATCATACTTGCGATCATCGCAAGCCCGCCCCGTTGAGGGGAGGGCTTCCGATGATTC